TGCAATTGTAATAGTGATCATGCTGAAGAACGAGAACAAAGCGTGTCACTACTGCTGTACATTGTTAGTACAAAGGTGGAAGAAATGGCTGTAGCAAGACTTTATATTTGGATTTAAGTTTCAAGAACAGCTTGATAGACTGAGGATGTAGTTCAGTGGTAGAGTATGTGCTTAGCATTCACAAGGCCTTGGGTTCAATCCCGAGCCCTGCAAAAAGTAAACAAAACTAAGTTGATAATCCTTACCAAAATTATTTTTTTTCTTCACTGGCCAATAATCATTTGCTATTTTCAGTAGTAAGTACTGTGCTGTTACATTAATGTTTCTCCTAAATGAAAAAACCAGCCTCCAACATCAGAAAAACCTGAGAACCTTGTTAAAGATTTAGATTCCTATGGGGCAATGTATGTAATGTACAATATAAATCTAATTGGAATTGTCACTATGTCTCCTCCCTGTATAATGAATATTTCCTAATAAAAATTTATATATATAAAATATTTAGATTCCTGCCCCCCAAGGGGTACAAGGCCTAGGGTTTGATCCCCAGCACTGAAAAACAAAATGAACCAAAAAACCCACCACCATCAACAAAATGGAACTGGACACTGGAGTTCTTCAAAGACCAGGTCAGCATTTTATTTTTTTATTCCTGACACTCAAATTCATAAGGAGTGAAAAGATAATAAAACATAATCAAAATAATATACAACACAATTCAAAAACATTTAACCATCTATTATAGCTGGTCTCTGTAAATACACAAAGGTAAACAGAAACATCTTCATATAAATTATGCTTAATAATCTGTATACACTATAAAACAATTAAAATCCACACTAAGATCCTAGTGCAAGCAGAGGTGTGTGAAAGTGCAAACAAGGCCAGTGATGAACAACTTATCACCAACATCCTGTGCCAAACACTTTACTCATTTTAAAAGGAACCTGACACATTCACCCTCAGTGCCCCTGCCACACTAGGGCAACCTACTCAATTCAGGTTAGGAGCAGCACCTGGGGAATACAGTAACCCAGACGAAGATGGCCATTCTGAAATGAATCTTTACACCTGATAATGAAAACAATTCTCAAAAAACCGGCAAAAAACGATAGCCGGTCATTCCTTTTACCCCAAAATATTAAAAACTAAATTGTATGCTGAAGAATCCAGGCACTCCAGTGTAGCTTTTCTGAAAATAACTGCATGAAACCACTTTTCCCATCTCTGTTCTAAAACCGCTTTGGGAGAGGGACACACCTGAAACAAAGTGTGCTCTGGATAACTTTGCTTACTTTCTTTTGATCACTTTGAGTTCCACTTTAAAGTGTGGTCAAAGTCCTGAACAATCAGTGCCACTGACTACATTAGCTACCTAATGTTCTAAACTAGCAGGAGGAGAGTTAGTTGATTCAGAACTGCATTTTCAGTAGTCTCCATAGATTCCCTTCATATTTGGGGAAACTTTGAAATCCAGGTGTGCAGTGGGGATGTGTGAGGGGGATGGTTACAGGGCTTAGGAGTAGAAACAATTTTAACAAAACCCCAATCACTTCCCACAGAGCCACAGTCACATATTCCAAGGGCTTGTTCTTTTTTTTGTGTGTGTGGTTAAAAAGCATTAACTTGAACTAGTTTTGATAATTTAGTACTTAATTGAAACATACTGTTTTTTGAACTCATTTACAGCAAACCTGTTTTTATAAGTTACCTTTCATTCCCTATTAATTTTTTTATTAAGGACTTCATATTTGCTAATCTCTACTTTTTGCTCTTTTGAAGCATCACCAAAGTTTTACATATATCTACAATGACCCCAACAATACATTCTCAACAAAATAAACTGAATTTCAAGGGAATATAAATTATTCCTTTTTCTTTGAGACAAGCTCTCACTGTTACCCATGTTGGCCTCAAATGAACTTTGGATCCTTCTGCCTCCACCTTCTGAGTGCTGCGATTACAGCGTGCACCACCTGAACATAGCTATTCTTAGTGTACTCTGGTCAGATTTTACTTGGCAATATTTAGCTCTTGTGAACCTCATGCAAATGCTTATTAAGTCACATCCCAAATACAGTTTCAGAAAATGTAAAATTTTACCCTGAAATGATAGTAGAAGTACAGTGTTTTCACTGATAGAATTTATGGGGGCTTTTTTTGGGATGTGTGTGTGTATGCTGGGATTAACCCAGAGCCTCACCCACTCTAGGTAAGTGCTTTACCAGTAAGCTATAGTATATCAGTTGTGATTGGCTTTGGATGTGGTTAATGAAATCCTTTTCCAGAAGGCAAGAAACACTATAACACAGCTATGACCCATTTTAATGATTTACAAGTAGCTTATGTGCTGGAAAGCACTATAGAGAAGTGGAGTCACTTGAAAACTACAGAGAAGAAAAGATGTTCTTTTACCACAGTAAACTTTTATACAGAGGCAGGCACACAAAACTAAAGCTTAGATCTGTGCAGGCAATATCTGAATTCATTCATCTTTGGCATTCATACAAAGGTACTCACTCAACTAAGCCAACAATGAAGAGTATTTTTTTCATATACTTTAGGAAATGTCTGTTCTCCAGCTTAAAGATGTTAAATCTCTGATCTAAAAATGCACTGAGAGGGCTGGAGGTGTGGCTCAAGCAGGTAAAGCACCTGCCTAGCGAGTGCAAAGCCCTGAGTTCAAATCCCAGCACTGCAAAAAAAAAAAAAAAACAAACTTAAAAATTCACTGAGATAAACTGAAATCTATAACTAGTTAGAATCCAAAAATGTAATTAACAGCAGTCATTTGAAATAGATGTATGAAATAAGACTCTCTTTAAAAATATAAAAGTGGACTTAGACCTTTGTATTTTTAAGAATTTCGGATTTCGTATTTTAGAACACCTTTTGCACAGTGTTTGACTTGTGTGGAATCTAGCCTTAACTTGTATACAACAGTGTTAATTAACTACACTTTAATATTTTACAGTGCAGGGCACGAATAACCTATGTTCTCACATTTACCTAGGAAACACGCCACAGGGCACACATTCATGCCCTAGTGGAGTGTCTGTCTTTCACATGAACTTCTCATAATTTGCTTCTCTTGATGGGGAGCTGTGGCCCAGTGCATGTGTACTCTGGAGAGTTCTCAGACCTGGATCTTAAGGCCTGTGACTGGGAACTCTCCCCCAGGTGCCAGGGAGGCAAGCTAGTTGCTGCTAAGCACAGCTTCATTTCCAGAGGCTCATCTACCTTTTAGCAGTGGTCCACAAAAAAATAACTTTGTTTCTTTGATTCCAGTGTTAGAACTAGAAAGAAGATACTGGAGCAAGGTATTTTATACCAGGAAGTCTTTTTCTCCTTCTAGAGAACCCAGCAATTTATGACACAACTAATTACAGTATTAGCATGGATCTCTAGGAAACACTGGAAAGAAGGGATGCCCCTGAAGACATGGAAGATAAGATACTTACAATCAAGAGGAAGTTACTTTTACTAAGGTTTAGCTCTGTGAATACTTTATCTAACAGATAAACCAACAGGTGCTAATGTCATGTTCTACTTTCCCTCACTGCTGCTGATGTTTCTAGGTAGGGAAGAAGCCCCTTTTATTTTCATTTACAAAGAAGGGAAGCAGCCAAATTACTAAAACCAAATGTTAAGAAATTACCTTGTCAGCTTAGCTTAGTAAGCCTTCCAGTCATTTCTAAGTCTGATCTGCTTCATAGGTTATGTTACTGATGACAGAAAGGATGACATTATCTCTGACTTGACTTGGACAATGACTAGAGAAAATACTGATTTTGATATTAAAATTATTATTATTTGCAGTTCTGGGGATCGAACCTAGGGCCTTGTGCATCCTAAGTAAACATTTAACCACAGAGCTACATCCCCAGACCTTTACAATTATTCTTGATGGAATTGGAACAACCTCTTCTCAGTGGACTTGGCTTATAACCAGTAGAGAAATCTTAACTTTGAGAGTCTTTAAAAATACATTTTGGCACTAACCTTTCATTTTTATTTTATTTATGATGGACTCAGACATTAAAAAAAAAAAAAAAGAACTCAACTTCTTAGGACATTATAATACTTAAAAAAAAAAAGCAACCTAAAATTTTGTTAGAAAGTGTAGCAGTTTGGCTTGTAGACACTTATCACACAGTGAGCATTCTATCTGAAAACAAGTCTTAGCTGAGGATGAGGCTGAAGTGGTAGAGCACCTGCTAGCAAGTGCAAGGCCCTGACTTCAAATCCCAGTACCACCAACAAAAATAAAAATAAAAACAAAAATCTCTGTGCTATAAAGTAAGAGTTAGCTGAGAAAAAAATGAGAAACAAGCATTTTTTTCCCTACCAGGAAATAAGACAAAGAATGCAAAAGAGCCATAAGACAGGAGCAAAATCCCCACAGAACAAGCTGCTACTTTTTCCTTAGATGTCATGCAGTCTCACTGAAGAGTCTCATTGAAGACACTGCACAAGATGCAGCCTGTCGCTTGCCGAGGGAGGTATCACTGTATACAGAAAGCCTGGGGAGTGCCTCTGGATGTGGAGAGACTGGTGCATGACACTACTTTTGGTGAAGATTATTTTTGGTGAAGAAGATTACCAACAGATTACCAACTGAAACCAGTAACACTGGAGCACCTCGGCAGCAGAGAACTGGGACAGGACTAAGGACCTACTGAACATTCAGCCTGTGTACTGTGGATGAATTTCTACAGAAGGCTGAGCCCACTGTGCCTAGCACAGCATCTCTAGCATTGGTAACAGTAGCATCACTGATAAAAAACACGATTCAGAAAGAAATGTGGTATCAGGTACAGCGACTACCACTACCGCATTACAAATGTAAAAGCCTCTAGGAGCTTAAACATTATTCTAAATATTCTGAAGGAATCTCCTTTCCTAATAACCCTCTCATACATACGATATTAAATACTCAAATTTCCAGAGTATACTATCTAGATAAGACACATTCAAATGAAACATTTGCCCAAAAAGGATGCCAAACATTAGTTTGTTTTATTGCATGACGTTTGCATAAGAAAGGGTATTATTAAAAACTGTAAGGCATCATGCAATCATTGATAAGCTAATTATTAACTGTACACTTAAGATATGTGGACATATAATCTAAAATTTAAAAACTAGTTCCAAAAAAGTACATAAAAAATTTAACATGATGAGCTTTTAAATATGGTTTATATTTGTAGTTTCACATTGTTAAAAAGTGCTTCAAATATACTGTTGGAAAGTTGCTCTTTACAAATGGTGCTGGGGGTAATGTCAGATTATAAACTATAAAAACTACTTTTATGGAATTAGAAAGCTAACATTGTGATATTCAAACTTACTTGAATCAGTTTTCAATTTTCATTCAAATTAAGTTGATGCAATATTAATAATCTAAAAAACATCTATTTTAAAACCAACAAAAGTCTATTGAATTCAAGTTATGCATGTAGGGTGATCAAATCTCTCAGGAGGTCTACATGTTGAGATCTGGAACTGGTGCAGATTGGTGCTAATCGATGTACTGTGCCATCCAGCGGAAGCCTTCTCCATAACCTTGTCTTTTGAGCACACTGCACATGAAAACTTCTAAAGGCCGGGCATTCAGTTCTTTCAGTGATACACTGCCCTGGAAGACAAGGGAGATATTATATTGGAGTTTTATGAAATAAAAGTTCCACTCCCCAACAGATTGTAGGGTCTACTTTAGAACAAAGAGTGACTATGATAAAGCCATGCCTGCTTGTTGTTCAACTCCCCTAAACATATAAGAAGCTCCTTCTCTCATCCACCACTGGGACAGGATAGCTATTCAGTGAGCATGTGAGGTACACAAGAACAAAACTAATCTGACTTGGAAAAAAAACTATTTGGTACATAGTGGTGCAAACTTGTAATCCCAACAATCAGGAACCTGAGGCTGGAAGATCTTAAGTTCCATGTTAGCCTGGGCTACCTAGTGAGAGAGACCCTGTCTCAAAAATCCAAAAAGAGAAAAATCCAAACTGCATTCACTGATATTAAAGACAAATACTCTGAGTAGGTTTATGACCAAACAAGGTACTTGGTAAAATTAATGTGGAGCTGACTTATTAAAAAGAAGACAAAGGGCCAGTTTTCTTATGATGTTTACATAGGAAAAATATTACTGAACACTGTAAGGTATTGTGCAATCATTGATAATCTAATTAACTATATCCTGTACACATGACTGTACACTTTTGCATAAGAAAAAGTATTATTACTGCCACCAAAAAAAATGCAAGTGTTCATTGGTAGAGGACTTATGTAGCATGTGCAAGGCACTGAGTTTAATCCCTAGCACCACCAAAAAAAAAAAAAAAAAACCAGAACAAAGCCTATCTTATTTAACATAAGAGTCGCTTCTTGTATGCTGCAGTCTTTTCTACCCTGTAAGAATATATATAAATCAAGGAAATTTTGTTTGTAAACTATGAAGTTCTTCCATTATTTTGGGACTGGGGTTTGAACTCAGGGCTTCACTTGAGCCTTAATTCCAGTCCATTTTGGAGGTGGGTTCTTGCAAACTTTTTTTTGCCTGGGCTGGCCTCGAACCAATGCTCCTGATACTAGCCTCCCAAGTAGCTAGGATTATAGGTGTGAGCCACAAATGCCTGCCTGGCTATCTGGGGTTTTTCAATACTAAAGAATCCAGTATAAATGAACACAAAAATAATGTGTTTTAAGGGCTGGGGGTATAGCTCAGTGGTAGAGCATAGGTTCAATTCCCAGCACCACCACCACCACCACCACTACTTACTACTACTATCATCTTGCTGGGTGTGACAACACACACCTGTAATCCTAGAACTCCAGAGACTACAAAGCATGAGGGTCTGAAGTTTGAGCCAGACTGGGTTACATAGTGAGACTGTCTCAAAAAGACCCAAATGTATAAATGGCAATTTTCTTTAAGGAAAAAACTAGGAGTTGGGGATTTAGATCAGTGGAAGAGCTAAATACTCTGAGTACTACCTACTGTCTACTGAGTAGGTAGACAAATACCTACTCAGAGTATTTGTCTTTAATATCAGTGAATGTTGTTTGGATTTTTCTCTTTCTGGATTTTTGAAACAGGGTCTCACTATGTAGCTCAGGTTGGCATAGAACTTAAGATCTTCCAGCCTCAGGTTCCTGACTATTGGGATTACAAGTTTGCACCACGATACATACTTGCCTGGCAAGTGCAAGATCCAGCTCTGAAAAAAACAAATAAAAATAAAAATATTGAGCTATTGCAGTTGGACAATAGTAATTTAAGAATACATTTATAAGCCTGAAGCTCTGAGCTCAAACCTCAGTACCACCAAAAAAAAAAAAAAAAGACATTTATATTGAGGAATTCAATATTCACACTTGTCAAAAATTTTTTAAATTATTATTATTTGTTTTTACCTTTCCTGTTGTCTGACCATATAAACCAAATATCTCTCGTAACCTCTCTTCACTGATGGCTTCAGGTCTGTCAATCTTGTTCCCAAAAATCAGTATAGGCACATTAGCAATGGTTTCATCTGTCATTAGTGACTGAAAAAAGACCAAATAATACAAAAGACAAGGTGACTTGAAACCATCTAAAGAGCTTATTTTGACAAGACACCAAAACTGTTAAGGACTCAGTCTCTAACATATCATGATGCTGACTTGCTTAGCAAACTTTTCTTACAACTTAAAGAGAGCACAATGAAACCATAAGCTCAACTCTTCTGTCTCCCTAGACGCTTTCTGGAAATGCTCACTCTGCTTGCTATGTAAATCACTGTACTAGAGTGGCTGGATCCAATACCTTGGAGGTGGACAGAATGGATTTTATTTTTGGTTTTGCTATTTCCGAGTTGTGAGCTTGGGCAACTCAGACAGAATAGAGAACAGTAGCACCTACCTTCTGGAGTTGACCTGAGAATTAAGTGAAGTGATACTGTACTTATATAATGCCTAGTACAAAGTAGAAATCAGAAACTTGCTGACCCTGTTCCATGACACACAGGTCCTATTTGGAACCTGTTTCCATATGAACAAGTATTTGTTTGCTTGCTCTGGGCAGAGACATGGTTGGATCAACCTTCAGTCAAGTCACAGACCTACTTACTCTGTGGCCCCAGATCTAGATCTGCCCTACCTGCTGCTCCTGAGCCCCTTTATGAAGCATCTGACCTTCTAGAGGGGAGGAGAGGTAGCTAAACATGTACCTGCTCACTTCTGGAAGTGGTGACAAAGATGGCATGTTTTACAATTTCCAGCTTCTGACCAACTCCTGAAGAAATGGCACCCTAGATGACCAGGCACTCAAGATCAACACACTCCAGGAATGTAGCAGATATGAAATATACCAGAAGGGCACACTCAGTGGAGTGTATCCTAGAGTCTCCAGGAGAATGTCCATGATAATACTTCCTCAAAAGCTACAATTACTCCTAGTTACTCCGTCTGCATTCTAAGTAGAGTAATCACTACTTAAAAAAAAGCAATCACTGAGCTGAACAAATTGCCAGCCATTTCATCAGAGATTATAGAAAAGCTGTCCTCCAATACCTTTATTTCCAACCTATTTCTTCAGGCTAACCAGAGTGATTTTACTATATTTAACTCTAATTATTCAACTTACATCAAGTTCTTCTTTTGATTCTAACAGTCTTTCATGGTCTGCACAATCCACCAGAAACACAATGCCATTGATAGCAGGAAGGTAGTTTTTCCATACTCTTCGGGCTAGCAAAAACAATCAGAAGTTAGGATTTACTAGCAGATGGTTTGATCAAAGAGTTCAAAATTCACCCCTTAGCTGCTGCCATTTCACTAGATACTCAAGTTGATCTTTTACCTAGTGGTGCCAAAATCTTTTCAGAATACCCCAAAATAAATTTCATACTTTTCTTTGTGTGCAAGTCAAATACTTTACTATCCCCCAATTTTCCCACCAAGATACAGAATTAATTATTTTCTACCATTAGACAATGTGTACATTAAATTCACTAGAGGACCAACTACTACATAAATCTAAAATATAAACAGTAAAAATTTTATATGTATGTATATATAAATATATTATATATGTATGTATATTTATATACATATACATATTCATTCATATATGTTTTATATATATAAAAACACATACACATAAAATACACAGTATAAATTTTTGACATTGCCAGTTTATCAGGTTTTTGCCAGTAATAAATTTGAAGTCAGTGACAGTGGAAGAGTATTAGTACAGGGTATAGGCTTGGTAAGCTAAAATAATAAAAGTAAACTTTACCCTCAAAATAGAAAACATATTCTAATATTAATAATTAATTGAAGACTAATTTTTCCCGTGATAGTTTTTTTTTCTTTTCTTTGTGGAACTGGGGTTTTAACTGAGGGCCCTCTACCACTTGAGCCACACCTCCAGCCCCATGATAGTCCTTTTGTTAAAGGAGGAAACAGTTTTTAGAGGATCCCATGGGAAATCAATTTCTTCTCTGACTTGAGTTTAATGACTTATCCTGAAAACAATATAGAAATGAAAGTTCAGACAAACCCCATTAGATTCTAATCCTCTCAAATCTTCATATTCCAGAAATTAATTTATGCATATGTCAATTATAATATATCTCAAATGTGCTTTCACTAGCCACTTAAAATCTTTTCAACTATATGTAATACAAGAATTTTCTTTAAATTTTTTTTTTTTTGTGGTGATGAGGATCAAAGCCAGGGCTTCCCACATGATAGGCAAGTGCTCTACCACTGAGTTAACGCCCCCCCCCCCCGCCTCATCCGGGCCCAGTCCTTTAGAATGCTCACCAACTCTGTAATATTCATTAGTTATGACTTACTATGTGCTAGGCACGCCCAAGTATTTTTGGGGATATAAAAAAGTGAAGAGAGGCTGGCTCGAGTGGTACAGTGCTTGCCTAGCAAGTATGAGGTCCTGAGTTCAAACCCCAGTATTGCAAAAAAAAAAAAAAAAAAAAAAAAATTAATTTTAGATTTTAGTGCCAGAAAGTTCAGTACAGGGCAATATTTCCAAGCTTGTGGCAGACATGTACACAAATGTACCAAGTGCTGTCAGTATAGCTGCAAGCACTTGAAGCTGGGAGTGACTTCCCAGGGAAGAGAGGATATACACGGGTACTGAGGGATTACTCTGTAGATGGGATGGTAGGAGCAAAAGCACAGAGGTGAGAGAACACTAGGTTTGTTTGTTTTGTTTTTTGTGGTTCTGGGATTTGAATTCAGGGCCGCATGATTGCTGGTTAGGCGCTCCACCACTGGAACCACCCACCTGCCCTGAGAACACTAGGTTTGATGTGGTGGTGACAGAGAGAACAGAAAGAGGAGTATCTGAGAGAGAAGATCAGAAAAGCAAAACGGGCCTACATCACAGAGATCCTTAATGCAAGGTTGGTGAAACTGGCCTTTATACTGTAAGTAATGAAGTTTTGTTTGGAAATGGTAACATGTTCATAATATGATTGACAAAGGCTGACAGGTAGACTAAAGCAGAGAGAGTGAAAGTTACATTTTACTTGCACAGTTTACCACCATAAGCAATTCAGACTGAAGTTGATCAGGAGTAGCATGCAAATCACCCTTTGCTTTTTTTTTCTAGTACTAAGGTTTGAAGTCAGGGCTCTGCACTTGGTAGAGCCCTGCCTCCAGCCCGTCCTTTACTTTTAAAGCACTTATCTGGTGGTAGTAATCCCTAAACTTTTAAGTCTAGTCTAACTTTGCTTGAATAGAATGAGATTTCACCACTGAAACACAATGGCCACATTTTTATTCAATTAAAGCAAAGACATCACAGGAGCAGTAGAACCTTACCTTGAACATGTCCGCCCAGATCAAAAGTTGTAAAAGTCATGCCAGCAATAGTCAGTTCTTCTGAAGCTAAATAAAAAGACAAAATATTTTTACAATATAAAAATCAGAAATCCTCAGCACTTGGGAGGTAGAGGGAGGGGGGATTGTGAGTTCAAGGCCAGCCTGGGGTATATTGTGAGACGCTGCCTCAAAAAACCCAAAGCCAAACGCAAAACAAAAAAATCAGAAATCCATTCAGGGCATACATTACAACTTAATGTTTGATTACTTTAATTGCAAGTAGGGTCAAATCAAATATTTAGGAACTACTAAGGAAGTATTTTGTTGAGTTGGGCATGGAGGTACATGCTTATAATCCCAGTAGCCAGGAGCAGAGGCAACAGGATTATAAATTAAGGCCAGCAAAACTTTGTTGTAATTAGATACACTCCAACTCAAATAATATTACAAGTAACTGTAATATTCAAATCTGATATTCACTATCTAACACAAATTTTTCCTTCTCTATTCTTGCTGCTGAAAATATTAACCTACTCAATTATTTACTATGAATTCAAATTTGTCATGTAATTAATATCATAGTAATTTGTCATGTAATTCTTCTTAAATGTTACAGGTGAAATAATTTTCCCTTATGGCTATCTTGAGACAGTCTTTCTCCCCCTGGGTGCTGGGGAATTGAACCCAGGGCCTCTATGTGTTCTACCACTGAACTGCACCCCCCTTTTCTGCTTTGTCCTTCCCTTCTGGGACTTCAACTATAGACTGCTTGATACTGTCCCACAGCCAGTGAGGCTATTTATTTTTCTCTTAGACGTTTTTTTCTCTATGCTTTATTTTGTTCCTATAGAACTGACTTAAGTTCACTGGTCTTTCCTTCTGCAGTACTGACACTATCTAATTTGCTGTTAATCCTAGTCAATGAAATTTTCATTCTGGGTACTATAATTTTCATTTTTAGAAGTTCTTCCTGATTCTATTTTCTTTTTTTTTTTGGTGGTACTGGGGTTTGAACTCAGGGCCTCATGCTTGCTAGGCAGGTACTCTTACCACTTAAGCCATTCCACCAGCCCTTTTTTTTTTCTTTTAATTGTGAGAAATCATTGATTCTTTTTAATGAAATGAAAAGCTAGTAATAATCGTCTTACACAGTCATTTCTACTGGGGTTTGAACTCAGGGTCTTGTGCTTGATAGGCAGGTACTCTACCACTTGAGCCACACCTCCAGCTCTTCTTTTTTTTTTTTTTTTCTTTTATTATTCATATGTGCATACAAGGCTTGGTTCATTTCTCACCCCTACCCCCACCCCCTCCCTTACCACCCACTCTGCCCCCTCCCTCTCCCCCCCAACCCCCTTGATACCCAGCAGAAACTATTTTGCCCTTATTTCTAATTTTGTTATAGAGTATAAGCAATAATAGGAAGGAACAAGGGTTTTTGCTGGTTGAGATAAGGATAGCTATACAGGGAGTTGACTCACATTGATTTCCTGTGCGTGTGTGTTTACCTTCTAGGTTAATTCTTTTTGATCTAACCTTTTCTCTAGTTCCTGGTCCCCTTTTCCTATTGGCCTCAGTTGCTTTTAAGGTATCTGCTTTAGTTTCTCTGCATTAAGGGCAACAAATGCTAGCTAGTTTTTTAGGTGTCTTACCTATCCTCACCCCTCCCTGTGTGCTCTTGCTTTTATCATATGCTCAAAGTCCAATCCCATTGTTGTGTTTGCCATTGATCTAATGTCCACATATGAGGGAGAACATACGATTTTTGGTCTTTTACAGCCCCTTTTTTGTGATGGGTTTTTTTGAGATAGGGTCTTGTGAACTATTTGCTAGGATTACAGGTATGAGCCACAGGCATCCGGCCTGATTCTGTTTTCTATCTTCCATTTTTCTCCTCATTAAGTACATGCCTTCCTTTAACGCCTTGGGTATAAAACAGCTTTCTCAGTGTCCTTATCAGCTAGTTCCACCATCTCTGTCACTTTTGGGTCTGTTTTTTGATTACCAGTCATACTTTCCTGCTTCTTTGCAAGTCTAGTAATTTTACATTGTATGCTGGATTTTGTTGTATTCCGTTGGACTTTTTCCTAGAAGACAGATTAAGTTACTTGCAGATTCAGTTTCTAAGTTTTGTCAGGATAAACCTTTACTTTGGGGCTACTTTGGCCCCATTACTAAGGTATGATCCTTTTGGAGTCTCTATTGAAGGCTCTATGCATCCAATCAGGTCCTTCCATTCTGGCTGGTGGGAATTTGAACATTGCCAGTCTCATTTCAACTCTAGTAATAATTTGTCTAACAGCTCCCTATATAATTGCTCTTCAGGCTCCTCGTGGAGTTTTACCTTATGCATGCACAGATAGGTATTTAGCAATGCAAATTCCTGGAGTGATTTTTCTCAAGCTCCCCCTTCTCTAGTACTCTGCCCAGCAAATTCTAGTCCCCTTGGCATCCTCAATTTCTGGTTTCTGTCTCTTCAATTCAGCAAGACTATTAATGGGTATGTCTGGGCTTTCTCCCCTTGTACCATGATCTGAAAATTATTTCCTAGCATAAAACTAGAATAAAGAAGAGTTTTGATTTCCTTCTCTCAGGAAATCAAACTATCACCCGTATTTGGAAATAGTTACATATATGTATTTATTTATATATATTTATATCGATCTATCTTATGTCTCATCAACCATCTTTTTTGTCTAGCTATCTAATTGTTTCTGGTGGGAGGGTAATTCCATACTCTGCTACTCTTCCCTTATTTTCTTCTTCTTTTTTTTTTTTGCAGCACTGGGATTTGAACTCAGGGCCTCACGCTTGCTAGGCAGGCACTCTTACTGCTTGAGCCACTCTGCCACCTCCTCCCTTATTTTCAAAAGCAGAAGCTCCCCACAATTACAATTACTCTGGGCACAGTAGTTTATCTTGATAAAAAATTCTAAGCTAGGCATGGTGGTGCACACCTGTAATTCCAGCATGTAGGAGGCTGAGATGGACGATGGTGAATTCAAAGCCAGCCTGAGCTACGTAGTGAGACCTTATCTCAAAAAACAAAAACAAAAACAAAAAAACCCCTCTGTATGTAGGGTATCAAGTGAATTAATTATTCCTTATAATCTGTGTTTAAAGTCACTATTCATAAGGAAAAAGTAATACTTGGATATGATTGGCAAACCACTTCTATGGTTTAGATTAACTTGTTTTTAAACTTTGATTTATAATATTTTCAGTAGTCCAAAGTAAGGTCATAAACATTTATAAATTAGGCTTCTTTTTCTAGTAACTTTTCCATGTTAACATTAACTTTACTTTCAGAAACAGTACCCTTTATATAACCTTATATTTAGGATGGTATGTTATTAATTGATTAGCAGTTTTTCAGGTCATCCTTTCTGAAAGAAATTTTTAAAACTTTCTGTAAGTGTATCTATGCCTCCTTTCTGGATTCTTTTTTTTTTTTTGGTGGGACTGGAGTTTGAACTCAGGGCTTCACAATTGCCAAGCAAGGGCTCTACTGCTTCCAATCCATTTTGCTCTGGTTATTTTGGAGATGGAGTCTTGTGAACTGTTTGCTTGGGCTGGCCTGGAATCACGATCTTCCCGATCTCAGCTTCCCAAATCATTTTTTTTTTTTTTTTCAGGGCAGAGAAAGATTTATTACATGGCCCAGACATACTGTGGGAAGAGGCACAGTAAGCACTCAGCCCATCTTCAGCCATCTTCCTCTGAATGTATGCATGCACTCATTCATTTATTTTGCAAAGATGGGGCTTGAATCCATGGCCTCATGCATGCTAGACAAGCACTCTACCTGTGAGTTATATCCCCAGCTCCTCTATGGTATTTATATTGGATATTGTCAAGATTGTCAGGAATTAAAAAAAAAACTGATTATATAGCCTAGCCACTAAATTTATGATTAAAATAGTACAGTTTTAAAATTTGAAAGAAATTCAGGTTGTGTAAAGAAGGTAATCATGATAATTTACCAACCATCTCATAATCTCTGAGATAATAACTTTTAATTCTAGCCAAGGAAGGGAATACTAACTGATAAAAAAGTATGAATGTTATTTCAAGATCTAAATATATCCCCTAGGAGCCAGATCACTTATAATTTATCATACAATTTTGGGAACAGGTTAAAAAAAACAACTCATAATTTTATCCATTAAAAGAAAAAAAAAAATCCAAGACAAAACCCTTTTGGTTAGTGCCTCTGATACAGCAGCACCTTACTCAAGCATCTGTCCATGGGGGACATACTTACTAGGATGTAATGTTGGGACATGCTGTCCAAGTCTGTCATCTTTTAGCATGTGCAGCAATGTTGTTTTCCCTGCATTATCCAATCCAAGAAATACCAATTTACCAGTTTTCTTATATAATCCTGCAGAGTAAGAGACATGATTGGTCAAAGTGATACCAGGCACATGACTTTAAATTTGTCCTGAATAAGCTTAGATTCCTAAACTTATTTTCAGGTTTTTTTGTTTTTTTTTTTTTTAAAGGGCTGAACTAGGGATTGCTAGGCAAGTACACTACTACCTAAGTCCTTTTTCCATTGGTTATTTTTGAGATAGGGTCTTGCTTTATGCCCAGGCCAGTCTGAACTTCAATCCTCCTATCCTCCTATTTGTGCTTTCCCACATAGCTGGGATGACAGGCACACGGCAAGCCACTGGTTGAAATAGAATCTTGCAAACTTTTTGCCTGGGCTGGCCTCAAACTGTGATCCTCCAGAGTAGCTCGGATTTACAGGCTGGAGCCACTGTGGCCAGTTTATTTTCAGTTTTAAAATTTCTACTTAAAAATCCATTCATGAGCCAAGGCTGGTGGTTTGTGCCTATAATCCCAACACTTGGGAGCAGAAGCAGGAAGTCAGTGATTCTGAGGTCAGCCTAAACTACATACAGTGAGTTCCAGGCCAGCCTGGGCTACCCAGCAAGATCCTTCTCAAAAAACAAAAAGGAAAACAAGCTGGGTGCCGGTGCTCATGCCTGTAATCCTAGCTACTGAAGAGGTAGAGATCAGGACACTCGCAGTTTGAAATCAGTCCGGGCAAATAGTTCTTGAGACCTTGTCTCAAAAAACCCTATCACAAAAAATTGGGCTGGTGGAATGGCTCCAGGTGAAGACCCTGAGTTCTAGCCCCAATACCCGCCCCCCCACCACACCAAAAAAAAAAAACCAACAACAAAAAACATTCATGATTTGGGACTTCAAATAATTAAGAAATGGGTTGGTGAAATGGCTCAAGTGGTAGACTGTCTACCTAGCAAGTGTGAAGCCCTTAGTTCAAACTCCAGTACTGCAAACTAAACTTGGTCCCAGTCAATAGGGTATTTGTGTTACTTAACTACTTAACCATGACCATTTAGAGGTAAATATATTCTCTATTAGGAAAATGTTCACAAAATACTTGACATCATGTATTTATGAAGATAGGCTGAAGGAAAAATGAAATGAAGTATTTCATGGATGAAAATAAACTAAGCATTTTTTTTTTTTTTTTTGGTGGGACTAGGGTTTGAACTCAGGGCTTCACACTTTCAAAGCAGGTGCTCTACTGCTTGAGCTATACTTCCAGCCCAAAACTAAACATTTTTAAAAAATGAATTTGTTACACATTGTTTAAATTTTCTGGGGGGGGCAGGTGGCCCAAAAAATATATACACATGTAAGTAAATGTAAAAATTATAAAATAAAAAAATCATTCCAATATATTAACAGTATATATAAAATGGAAAATTAATATGCAAAAATTCTTAAAAATAACTTAATTAAAATAATTTCTTTAAAAATATTTTAAGACAGAGTCATACCATCTAGACCAGGTTGAGTTGTAACCTCGAGTGCTGTGTCACCTTGACTAGCTAAATTAAGCCTCCCCTTTTGTTTTGCAGTATGGGGATTGAATCCAGGGCCTTGAACTGGGTGACCACTTGAGCTATGTAACCCCCCAACCCTTTTTTGGGGGTTTTGTTTGTTTGTTTTGGTGGTAATGGATTTTGAAGTCAGGGCTTCAGCCCTTGTTTTGTTCTTGAGATAGGGTCTCACAATGTTTCTGCTCCATCTCCCAAGTAACTGGTATTACAGGTATGGTCTACCACACTTTACCTTAAAGGTAGCATCTTTTTTTGTTTTTTCAATAATGAGCTTTTGAACTGAGGGTCTTGCTTTACTTCCCCAGTAGCCAGGATGATAGGCCTGCACCCCAACACCTAGCTTTTTTTTTTTTTTTTTTTTATTACTGGGGTTTGAACTTAGGGCACTTGCTAGGCAGCGCTCTACTGCTTGAACCACTCTGCCAACACTTTTTTTTTGCATATTTTTGAGATAGGCTTTCACAAACCATTTGCCCAGGCTAGCTTTGAACTGTGATCCTCCTGAGTAGCTGGGATTACAGACATGACCCACCAGTACCTGGGTTCACACAGTTTTTTACTGGTTGAGATAGGGTCTCATGAACTTTTTCCCCAGGCTGTCCTAAAACTTGACCCTTCTGATCTCTACCTCCCAAGTAGGAGTTAGGATTATAGGCATGAGCCAAAGTGCCTAGCTAAAGTAAGCACTTTTTTTTTTTTTTCCAGTACTGAGGCTTGAACTCAGAGGCTCACACTTACTAGGCAGATGCTCTACCACCTGAGCCATGCCTCAACCTTAAAGCAAGCACCTTTGACGATAAAACAGCAGTGGGTTTTGTAAGTCCAAAAGTTAAGTAGTTCACTGTTAAGTTTAACCTTAATTAATTCAATAAATGAATTAAAAATAAGTTTAAACTATCACAGGAATGTATAAAACTAAGCAATAACAACAAAACCAAGCCCATAATTTTAGAAATGCCAACCAGGCACTATTTATTTATAAGTAGAAAAAAGACAACACTGACCAATTTATAGGAGACTGGTATTTACCTGCTAAATTTGACATTGACTATAAGAACCACACACATGCTGAGCATTTGCTCTATCACTGAGCTACACCCTCAACCTTGAACTTTATTATTTTATTTTTATCTTTTTGTCAGTACTGGGGTTTGAACTCAGGGCCTCACACTCGCTAGGCAGGTGCTTTCCCACTTGAGCACTCTGTCAGCCCTTTTTTGTGTGAGTATTTTTGAGTTAGGGTCTTGAAAACTATTTGACTAGGCTAGCTTTGAACCTCAATTCTCCTGAGTAGCTAGGATTACAGGCATGAGCCCCCAGTGCCTGGCTTGAAGTTTATTTTTTAACGTGTGTAGGTGTTTAATCCCACTGAATTAAAACAGAGAATTTGTCTTCATTCATAGTACCAGTTCGAAAAATATTTACTCAGTTAATAAGTGAACTTTTGGGTTGGGCATGATAGCACACCCTGAAATCCTAGCACTGAGACAAAGGCAGGAGGATGTTGAATTCAAGGCTAGCTTGGGTTATACAGTGAATTCAGAGCTACCATGGGCTACATAGGAAGACCCTATCTCAAAAAAACAAATTAGGACTGGGGATGTGGAACAAAAGGTAGAGCTCCTGCCTAGAAAGCAGGAGGCCCTATGTTCAAACCCCAGTAAACTGCGCACACGCGCACACACACACACTCAAACACATATCCCAAAACAAAACAAAACACACCAAATGAATAAACTTTCAAGGATATTAACCAATTACAGTTTTAGGCCATCTGTTTTCTAACAAATTCATTCCAAAGTAACACCTAGTTCTTGAGACTAGTTTGGAGATTCTAGCAGAGGAATGTAGCTACTTGCATATCCTTGACCCAAAAAACAGTCTGCTTTATAGAGGAAGGTTATTTTCTCCACCAAGTGTGTAGCTTCAGGAGGGTTATACATGGAGCAATGAGACAGGAAACGGACACCTACCTAACTAGCCAGATAAGTTGAATCAACCCTGGCAAATGATGGGGTAACAGATGTCATAGCCAGATTACTTCACATCAAACACCTAGTTCTTTATTATTATTATTTTTGGTGGGACTGGGGTTTGAACTCGGAGCTTCAAGCTTGCAAAGCAGGCTCAAGCCATACCTCCCCTATCTAGTTCTTTACTGGCACTTGAGTCTGTCTGAAGTCCTAATCTTTTAATCACCAATTAACACCTCTGTTTTTTTTTTGTTCTGACTTTGTTTTCTTGAAACAGGACCCCTTTAAGTAGCCTAGGCTGGCCTTGAAATGATCCATTTGCCTTAGGCTCCCAAGTGCTGGGATTATAGGCATGCACTAGCACACACAGGTTGTATCTTAATTTTTAAACAGTAAACGTGAACTGGATAAAATCCTAAAAGTGGAGGCCAGGGGCACGGCTCAAGTTGTAGAATGCCTTCCTAGCATGAGATCCCACTTCTGAAAAAAAAAAAAAAAAAAAAAAAGAAAAAAAATTCTGAAGGAGATACTGAGAGCACTTAAACTTTACTTTTTAAAAAAAGACTATGGATTAGCCAGGCATGGTGACACATGCCCTGGAGAAATGAAGTAGGAGCATCTTAAATTCCAGGCCACCCTGGATTATGTAGGAAGACCCTGTCTCAGGAAGAAAAGAGGAAGGAAGGAAGATTGTAGATTGGGGCTGGGAAGTAACTCAGTGGTAGAGCACTTATCTAGCATGCATGAGGTCCTGGGTTCAATCCCAGATATTATGGGGTAGACTAAATCCTTATCACAAAAAAACAAACAAAAACCCCAAAGCTTTGGTTTGGCTCCATTTCTCTATATTGCCTCTTAATGTCTGGCTTCTTGATCTTTTTGTTCCTTATTGTGATATAACCCATTTTGTTGAAAAACAATGAAATTCAGCTTAGTTTCATTTTTCTGTAAACTGAGGTACAACAGATCCTGATTTACTACAACCCATAATCCCAATCCTTATTGGCTTAAGCCCCTTATCTCTGATTCAATTGTTGCAAAATATTTCAGTCTGATGAAAATATTTCAAGGCCTTGAATTCAAACCCCAGTACTGCCAAAAAAATTTTTAAGAATTCTCTTGTTAGTAAAATAGAGCTGATCTGTAGTAGAGTGGCAGTATAAAATGGAATGAGGAATTTATTTAAGAAAAGGCACATATATAGGCTTGGGGCATGGCTCAAGTAGTAGAGCACTTGCCTACCAAGTACAAAGGCCCTGAATTCAAACTCCAGTTCCACAAAAAAAGAAAGAAAAATGAGAGTGAGTACAACTAAGAAATAAAAATACTGTGACACAATTTAATTTTATTTTTTATCCTTTTTCGTTGTTTTGAGACTGGGGTTTGAACTTGGGGCTTTGCGTTGCAAAGCAAACGTTCTACTGCATGAGCTATACCTACAGTTCATTTTGCTCTGGTTATTTTAGAGATGAGGTCTTGTGAACTATTTGTTCAGGCTGGTCTCAAACTATGATCCTTTCTATCTCAGTCTCCTAACTAGATAGGATTACAGGCATGAGCCACCCGCACCCAGCTATTTTTATCCTTTTAAAGTATAATAACCAAACAAAATTTATTTCTTTGATTAAGATTAGGTTCATGGAGGAAAAAGCAGTTACATAGGAAATACACTTCTCTAAGTTCCATTTTAGCTGGTCTGAAACCATGCTGACCACTTTATAATTACATGAAATGCTTCTTTTTCTGCCAATTCACAAGACTAATGTTTATATGAGACTAAACTTAGGCAAAATCTGAAAATCAGGAAACCAGAAATACTTTTTTTTTTTTTTTTTATTTTTTTTATTTTTTGTGGTACTGGGGATTGAACTCAGGGCCTCATGCATGCAAGGCAAACACTAAACCACTAAGCTATATCCCCAGCCCCCAGAAATACTTTTAAACATTTGCAACTTATTCCAATAAAGCTGTATGTATCCTAACAAAAAAGTTAATTTAAAATGTGCTTCACTGAAAAATGTGGCAAGTCAAGGGTTTCAAGAAAATAATGAAAAGCTAAGGTAAAAATAGAATCTACAAAGAAAGGAAAGTCAATAGTCAGAATCTGGGTAAATCAATCTCATTTAGCAGATTATAAACTCCCATTTATGATGCTCAAGTCACTTCATGGAACATACATTTTTATTAAAAAACAGAAACAAAAACAAAAAAAAACCATTGATGGCCAGGCATGGTGGCTCACATCTATATCCTAGCTATTCAGGAGGCTGAGATCATGGGGCTCATGTCTCAAAGCCAGCCCAGGCAAAAAGTTAGTGAGACCACCCCCCAATCTCAAAAACAAGCTATATACATCTGTAATCCTAGCTACTGGAAAGCATAGGTAGGAGGATCATGGTCTGAAGCCAGCCTCATGTGAAAACACAAGACCCTATCCAAAAAATAAGTAAAGCAAAAGGTCTGTAGCAATGGCTCAAGTGGTAGAGCACCTGCCTAGGAAGCATGAAGCCATGAGTTCAAGCTCCAGAACTGGAAAAAAAAAATCACATTCCTGTGAGGATTAAATAATATAAACAATTTAAACCATGTAGATAAATTGGTTAATAAATGGTATACATTTCTGTTAAGAATATTAATAATATTCTTAAGAGATAGGAACTATTATTTACATTTTATAGATAAGGAAACTCAGGGTAAGGTGGAAAAAATAAGTTGCTGAAGATTATATAATTGAATCTGATTGCATGGTTTCAAGATTTCAAAGCTCACTTTCTTAACTACTGGCTTATATATAAAGGCTTCTACAAAACAAGCACATTTATATAAATAGTATTTTATGGGATAACTGTAGATAATGAAGGGCCAACATTACCTAAAAACTGTAGCACACTGCTGAAACCACTGTAAATCCAATCAAATATGAAGGACATATCCAAATCTTACAGTCTGAAAAAAAAAGAGTTTTGGGTTTAATAGTCAACATTAAATAACAACACATATTAAACACTAATAGTGTTAAATGCTAACACTGAGTAAATAATCCTACAACATCCTTGTAGAGTTAAACACTGTTATCCAGGCTGTTCCAACCTGATCTATACTGATGCATAAAAGTAAAATACCATTCAACTGTCAAGTAGAGACCATATTACGCTCTTACAAGTAGCAAAATGAAAAGGCCTCACCACAGCCAAGACTAGGAAAAATGTAGTGAAAGAAGCACAGATGGTGGCAGTCTAAACTAGTACAAATTGTTTTTTTAAGGGGAGAAGAAACTATTTTTAAAATAATTTTCCTTTTTAAAATTTTCAAGTATATGCTTCATTAGTGTGTATTAATTGTACTAAACTGGTGCACATCTTTTTCAAAACCATTGTGATATGGAGTACTCAGGAGGCTGAGGCATAAAGAGCTCCAGGTCAAAGCCAGTCTGAGCTACATAGTGAGACTCTGTGCTGGGAAAAAAAAAAAAAAAAGATATGTGACACAAGTATTACTTTTAAAAAGTTGGGGGGCTGGAGATGTTGCTCAATGGTAAAGAACTTGCCTAGCACCTTTTAAGGCCCTGGGTTTAATCCTTGATTTAAAAAAAGAAAGAAAAGAAAAAAAGGAAAGGGAAAGAAAGGGGAGGGTAGGATAGGGAAGGGAAGGGAAGGGAAGGGAAGGAGGCAAGGAGAGAAAGAAGGAGGGAAGGAAGGATGAATGGGAAGAGTGAAGGAAGGAAGGGAGGAAGGAAAAAATTGGAAATGACCTATATTCAATAACAAGTTAAATAAATTTTAGTAGATATGGCTCATGGGATAATTACAAATTCTTGTTGTAGGTGTTGGGAGAGAAAGAATGAAGGGGGAGCAAAAGAAAGAGGAGAAGCAAGGTTATGATAATGTTTCTGCCCCCCCCCCCCCGCCTTTTAAACAGGAATTTGTTTCAGATAGTAAATTTCTGGGTTTGTTACCTTTCTTTTGCTTTTTTTGTTTTTGTTTTTTATAGATAAGGTGGTGCTACATAGCCCAGGCTGGCCTAGAACTCTCTATATAGCTCAGGCTGGCTTGAACTCATGATCCTCCTGCCTTAGCCTCCCTAGTGCTGGGATAACAGATGTACACCACCATGCCCAGTTTCTTTCTGCATTTTTAAAATTTTAACTATATGAATAAATGTTAGAAACTCTTTTAAATCACAATAGAAAATACAGAATGTAGTTAAATTCAGTATTTAACATGTATCTTGATAAACTAATATGGGTAGTATGGAAAATAAGAAAGACAATCCTCCTGAGAGAAAAAAGATCACATATATAAAAATATACCTTCAGGTCAACAAAGTTCATTTTCTAGATATGAACAAAAGAACCCAGGCCTGGAACTTGGACCATGTCCAAAAAGTATGACAGGCTGTGTGTGTGTGCGCTATCATTGACATTCTTTAGACAAAGTCTGACACATACCCTGCCTTCTTTAACCACCTCAAGTGGACTGTCAAATATGATTCAGATAGGCCACCCTTAGAACTGTAGAAGGTAAGGTGCCAAGAGAGGTTTCACCTTCAGTGAGTGAGTGAAGAGAGCAAGACTGCCTCCAGTTTCAGTTTGTGTCAGGCCTAGCAGTTATTTTCTAGCAGATTCTTTGGGTTCTGGCAAAGCCTCTCTCCTCTCTCTTTACCTTTGCTTGAATTTAGCATGAGCAGATTTTTTTTCTTTTTTTTTGTGGTACTAGGAATTGAATCCAGGGTCTCAAGCATGCTAGGCAAATGCTCTACCACTATCTCCCTTCAGTCCTCCTACTTCAGCCTCATGAGTAGCTCAGATTACAGATGTGTGCCACTACATATCTGTGAGCTGTTTTTACAGCTAATCAACTATTCATGATCAACATCATGAATTGTTCCATGTGTCAGTGTCACAATAATGAGAAATGCGACAGTAATGTATATACATGTCTATCAATATAACACCTTGGGTATTCCTATTTTACTCAGGTTAAAAATTATACCTGCTTTGCCAAGCATGGTGGTACACACCAGTAATCCCAATACTTGGGAGGCTGAGACAAGAGGATGGTGAGATCAAGGCCAACCTGGGCTACATAGTGAGTTCAATGCCAGCCTAGGATACATAGCAAGAACCTGTCTCAACAAAACAAATTATACTTTCTTCTATCATCGTCAGTCTAGTCACGCAGAAATTGAATTGTAGGGGCTAGGTGTACAACAGTGGTATGTGCAAGACCGAGTTTGATCCCCAACACCAAAAACCAAGACAAAAAAAAAGAAATTGGAATTTGTCATAAAATATACGTCCATGGTTTATTTTTCCAAGAGATTTTAAGGTGTAATATTTTAAGGTGTATTTTAAAGAGAATCATAATAACCTTTGCTGTAGAGAATCAAATAAAGTAGGAGAATGTGTTGAGATAATCAATCCGTTTTCTAGCTTCATATTAAGTCCAAGGTCCTGAGCTAAATGCTATGGAGAAAGAATATAAACAACAGTGGCTCTTTCATATAACCAGAGGAAAATGAACTGGAAGTAGGTTCAAGCACTAGAAAGTCTGCTGTGCAAGCATATAAAAACTCTGAATTCAAACACCAGTCCTACAAAAAAAAAGTGGCCAGGTTTTGTAGGATTAGGTTGAACTAAGTAACTAAGTGAAACTAGTAAAAATTAGAGCCTCATGAAAAAAAAAATCACAGACTAAATTTAGGCATTTAGATTTCATGTTTCCTGCCTATAATATGTAGACAAAGGAAACAACACTGAATCAGTCATTCAATTTAAGAAAAAAAAAAAAATAGCACCTACCACTTATTTTACGCCCTTCCCCCACTCCCCCCTCACCACCATTATGGTCTAGATGTTAAGACAAGGAGCTCTGAGCCAGGGCTTGACCACTTATTGTCTATGTTAGACAACTGACTTGACTCTACTGTCCTGTAACACGTGGATAACAGCAGCTACATGAGCTGGTTGCTGCAAAGATGAAGTAAGCTGTATTCACAAAGCACTTAGTTATCTGGCACCAAGTACAGCATTCAATAGTGCTACCTGCTGTACATTCTACATGGGCCACAATCCTAGGCACTTTACCCATGTCACCACCAACCCTCCCAACAACCCTTTAAAGTTAACATCAGTGTTCCCATTTTACAGAACTGAAGTTAGTAACTAAACCTCAACTATTACTAATTAACACATCTAAGGTTCAAACTTGGACCTTTCTAATTTCCATGTTCATGCCCTTTCTTTCCCATTAGGTGGATCTCTAAAGCTTCATAACTAATAGCTTTTAAAAAATATAAATTTAGGGCTGGGGGCACAGCCCAAGTGCTAGAACAGTTGCCTACCCTGGATTCAACTCCCAGTACTGCAAAAAAAGAACAAATAAAGTATAAATTTAACAGGCCATAGTGGCCCAGGTCTGTAAATCCTAGCAACCTCATGAAGCTAAGGCAGGAGAATCATGAGTTCGAGACCAGCCTGGGCCTCAGAACGAGTTCCAAGCTAGCCTAAGCTATATAGTGGAACTTGTTTCAAAACAAAACCAAAACATAAATTTGCCTAAACTATTAACTACCTTTTTGTCTGTTTCCTGCAGTGCTGAGGATTAAACCCAGGGTCCTGTGCCTTCTAGGCAAGTACTCTACAACTGAGCTACACCCCCAGACTTAAATATCATTTTTAATCACTTTGGATTTAATCCTTCCTCTCCCTTATATCCCACAATCCTATCAATTTCTTGAAGAAAAGACGAACACTTTTTTTTGGTTCCCATAGGAATCACCTAGTTAAGAACCTTCCATCTCCAGGATCCAGGTGTAATGATGCATGCTTGTACTCCCAGCTACTAGGAAGGCTAAGGCAGGAGTTTTTAAACCTGGGCAACATAGAAAGACCCTGTCTCAAAAAAAAAAAAAAAAAAATCAAACCTTATGTCTAAAACTACCATCTCAACTCAAGATTTCTCTCTACTCATCTTATACACTGCCTCCAAGTGGCTTTACCAAAATGTCATCTTGAACTTGACTTACTGCACAGTCAGGGTGAGTATAGTTCTGTTTGCTGACCATAGCTCTGTCTCAGTTTATATGTGTTATCTCAGTGTAATTATTATTAGTGCTTCCTTTCACTCAAAAGGGCCCTGATTCCTTATTTAGGCAATAAATTATTTGGCCACTTTATATACTCTATCTGGTGGATGGAGAGCTACCAGAAGTTTTTGAACTGAGAAATAATTCATTGAAACTCATAGTCTAATATTCCAGAGCTTCTACTACTTACCCCTTGGGTACCTTTCCAAGCTTAACATATACCACACTTCCTTACTTGTAGCTTTCCCTGGGTCAGGTGACTGACTTTGCCACCTTAAAGCCTCTGCCCATTCTCCTTATCATCAGAATGTTCTCCTGCTATCTATGCCTGAGAGCTTCCAGCCAAAATGCTACAGAAGAAAGTTCTCACTTGAGGTGGTTCTTAAGGGGACAAATGGCAGTGGGAGAACCAACCAAATCCAGGAAGGCTGAGAACTAGAAAAGACAGCTGCAAAAATGGGAAGGAAAGAAGTTAGCAACATCAAATACAGCTGCAGAAAGATCACAGTTGGCTTTGCTGACACACAGAGCCAACTGCTGACAGAATGAGCAGCCTGTGGTAGAACAGTGGTGTAGGTCATACAGTCAACACTGAAAGCAGAGAAGAGCCTCTGTGATTCATAAACTGTGACCGTGAACAAGTTACAAGTTTCTTCTGAAATATCTCTTAGGGTGTTGTAAAGATCAGATGAGACAAAATGTAAAAAGGAACCTTGGATGCTGTTATTATTGAGAAGTGAATGAACACAAAGGTTTAATACAGAGACAGCAAGGAAAGATTCTCCTTTCAAAAAGTTTTAAGTGGAATGAGAGAAAAGATTTTATTCTCAAGGAAGGGTGAAGCTTGAGTTGATAAACTG